GAATATTTAATAAAAAATGATGTAATGATTAAAACAAAAAACTTTATTCATAAAACAAGATTAAAATGTGTCGCATTCTGACAGCAGTGCTTTAAGACATTCAAATGTGATAATACAATTTCAACACTACACTTTTAGTATGTTTATCAAAAACAACTCTAATTTTCAAAGCAATTTACCAATGAATATCTTGGTGTCTTGGCACAAGAATAATTTTGGGATCTTTGAATGTGTTCACTACAAGAATACAATTTGTTTAGCGGCCCATGTATTTGATAGAAGTAATTGTGTGACTTGTCAAGTTCTAATGAACCATTTGTACTCTTAAAAAATGAAACAGTTTCATCAGGTACATGTATTTGTTCATTTTTCTACTATGGAATATTCATCAGTTAGATTATGCATCTGGTAATGCATCAAGAAATGGGTACGACTTCGACACAAATATGCCACAATTTTGGATTTTTACCTCGCATATTTTATTATAAGCTTTTATGGCTACCTACTCGTAGCATTTGTCATGAGAAATGGATTTGTGGGACACGTTTAGTCAAACGATTAGCAAGCTAATTCAAATCAGTTTTTTCTGTACATTTTCAGATTCAACCAAAATTTAAGGAGTGAATTCTCTTGCACCATTTAGACTGCCATCAAGGATTGGTGCTTTGAATACGCGTTTCATTTGCAATTTTTAAGAATTCTCTGTAATGTTGGAATTTTTAAGCCTCATTTTTGAAAGTTTTCCCTGAAAATAATCATGATTAGAATCAGCTGTCAGCTGTGTTCGCAATAGGGAACAATTGAGAAACGGGCAATTTGTTTACAGTTGGGTTACTTAACAAAACATTTCGATATTCAGGCATGGTCCTGAACTCATGTGGCCTTGGGTCATAAATGTCATCAGCATCCTTTGCTAAAGGGAGGTATTTTAGCTATATGCAGACTTCCCTTGTATGGTTTAACATGATGGAATGTTTGAAAAAAGGGGAATAGGCATAGCCAAAATGTCTACATAGCGACAGATAAAAATAAATAAATTTCTCAAAAATCTTACTTTCTGTTGAATTTATGTAATGTTTATTACCAAAATTGACAATAGTTGAATATTTTGACAAGCCAGTTGATTACAATTAACACACCAAGATGGCAACAGGCTCAGTTAGCACATAAACTGAATTAAATTGAATGCTTTAACCACAATTTTTGAATAACGTGGGTCATGACTCCATTATTTGGTGAACGAATAATGAAAAGCGGTAGAAAAAGGTTTCTCTTTACACTTACTAAGTAGACTCACTCTATATCAAAAATTTAGTTTACTTAATACTTAAATGTTCACTATAGTCTTAAAAAAAATCTCCAAGTCTGCATACATTAAATGAGAATAAGATCAGTTTATTATTTAAATGGCTAAACATGTGCGATTGCTTGGTGCAGTGGTCAGCGAGGTGATAAAATGGACACTCGTTGAAGAGAGAGTCCGAATCATTTTGAGATGCCTTTTTTGGTTTACTTTGTCATGAGTTGAAATGTAGCTGTAGCTTAGGAATAAAGTACGTTTTTTTTTATATTGAAAATGTAATAAAGAATCAATTTACTTTAAATTATTCAAAATATGGGATAAACTAATAAATAATGAAATAAGCATTTTCAATTTGTAGTTGAAACACAAGGATAAAGAGGAAGTAATCGGTTCGAACAATAATGAATCCCACTATATTGCATTCCTAGACAAAGAATGTGCTATAATTTCAAGCATCTGTGATGAGCTGTTTCTGGGAAAACTGCGACGGAAATTTGTAAAGTATATTGTACGTACAGACGCAAGGATAAACAGGAAGATGACATCGGATTGGTACAAAAATGAATCCCATCATATGGCATGCGTAAACAAAGAGTGTGTTAAAAATTTCAAGCATTTGCGATGAGTAGTTGCTTAGAAAACTGCGACGAAAATGTTACGGATAGACAGACAGACGGACACACACAGACACACAATAGTAAAATTGTATACATGTACCTTTCGGAGTGGGGGTATAATAACTATTTAGTACATATTACCACTAAGAATTAATACCATAAAAATATGTGGTGCATAATATATTTCTAACTATAATACTTGAAAAACTTTTGGGGGGAATTATTTGGCAGAAAGAGGCTCGATTTGTCTTTTTCAGATTACTTTTTATTGATAGATTGAACATTAAAGAAGAAAAAAGAAACAATATCTGATAAAGATTCCAAATATATCAAGAGGACCATTAATTAATATGAAATGAAAATATTTATATGGAAATAAATTTCTGAAGACGGGTTTCAAGCCATCTGCATCTCGACTACAACCGTTTCAGCATTTACAAAATTATGTACTAGTTTTGGCAAGATGAAAACTTGATTAGGTATAAAAATGACAACTTCCATTAAAATGAGGTACAGCTCATATTACACCAACACAAATTATATCATCTCTAATAAAAAGAACATGCGTCTGCAAAGTATCGAGATCGAGAAAAATCTTCAAAACTTTTATCTGAATTTTCAGCATCCGGCAATACTAGATTTACTGCCTAACAATCGTAAGTTTACATGATTTTCCATATATGTTCATGTCAAAATTCGACAAACATAATGACTCAACACTTGTAAATTTGTACTTTCCCAGAGGTCGTTTTATGTACGAATGTGTAAAATTGAACGCATCAAATACGAACTGGCTTTAAAATCTTTAAATTTTCCCAAAAGCGTACCAAAATATTGTGGCAGTTTAAGTATATTCATTCGAGATATAAAGTATAAAAAGGGTTCGTCAAGAATTACACGGTACAGTGTTCTGGATTATGGTTTAAGACTGTAGATGAACACATATACAATTTTAAATGTAACAAATTGTGAATTTACACGTATAGATTTTTTAACACGATTACCCTCCTTAACAAGGTTCGATCCTGAGCTTTTGAGGAGATTTTTGTCCAAACCTGTGTTTCAAAAAATATTGTGCATAATAGTTTAGTTCTTGTAATAAATTTGGATTCTACAATGCCAATTACACTACTCAATTAAAATCCCATGATTAAATTCCATACCAAAAGCATTAAGTGAGGAACTATATTTTGTGGCGGAAGGTTTTTTAAGACGAATATTATCATTTTTTTTCTTTCAGGTATTTACAATACTGTAAAGTTTGGATTCCTATTTTTCTATTAAGTTTAACTTGTGCCTTGAAATGCTTTATACTGTTCCTAAATTATTTATTAAATTAACTGTCATGAATTCCATCATCATATTGTGACAAATATAGCATATATTTTGTGAAAATCCAGAAAAAAAGTAGCCTAAATTTAATTTTAAAATTAACACTATTTTAGAAATGTCTAAAAATTTACATCTCAGATCTTCACTTTTTATTTTCTTTTCTGAATATATGATATTTATAACCATTCTGCTTTAATTCAGAAAAATTTAAAATAAATTAAAAGTATTTCATTGTTTGTCTTATATTTAATGCCAGAAAAATGATTTTCAGTGAGAAAAGGCCAAATGATTGACTATGCCAGGTAAGGCCAACTTTAAAATAATGTTTGTTTGCCCTCTCCCGACTCAGGATGAAAAATTTGAGTCAGTAGATAGGTAAGAATTTTTTATTCTCAGAAAATTTCAATTTTAATGCTTATTTTTTAAAATCTATTGTCCAGAATTGCTTCCAGGAGGTCAAAAAAAAAAAAAAAAGTTTTGAGTCGGGCTATTTTTAGCAGTCGGTCGGGAAGGGGCAACCAAACAATTTTTTAAAGCTGGCCTTAAAATGAAACTTTTTCGCTGTCCCAAACTTTATCGTAACTATTTAAAATAAAATAAGGCTGTATTTGGTCCCATGACTTATTTAGGTAAAAATACTGGAGGAAAAACTTTTTATAATTGATTCATGTGTTAGACGTAGTTACAGTGCAAAAAGGTCAAATTAAATGCAACATAGCGCCAAAAGAAGGGCATTAACCCCCATTTTTTGTTGTGATATTTAACTAACCTATGTGTGTAGATTTTAAAAATATACTTGATTGAAAATTCTCATTACTTTTGATATCAGGATCCAAGTTTTTTAAAGAACGTCTTGTCCGATGACTGCGAGGAACCGAATAGCGCCTACGGACCGCGAGAGGGAGGGGGGAGGGGTACCGCACATAAAACGCCACGTAAAGGCAGAGTTACGTATACATCTGAATACATGTACCTTCGTAATCGACGCGTAACTACATGTACAACTGCATGAAACCGAAATGGAAAGTAATACAGCAGACAATCATAATCGTCATATTCAACGAAAAATTTGAGGAAACTGATGTGCGCGTTTATTCAGCGAAGTCGTCCACCTTACGCTGGTGTTAAATTCCTCTCACTCTCGCACGTGCACATCGAATGACTTTTTCTGAGTAGCAAGAGTTTATCTTCAGTTTCCTATAACTTACTACATTAACATGTGATTGGCTTCCTTATAGTTAACATTCGTCACCATTTGTTCAAGATCAAAGGGAGTAACTGAACAGTAGAGTAAAACGGCTTCGGATTACCTCTGCTATTCTCGACAAACTAATGGCTCAATTCTTGGAAGAGTGGACTAATACAATGATGAACATGTAGAGGAGAATCCGGGCTTTTATAGATATGCGAGGGAGGCATCCGAATACTAACGAGTCAGTCAAATTGGGGAACAGTCAAACGTGCTTCAATTACCCATGAAATATCGGCCAGATTGGTATATATTTATTAGCAAGAAGTAAATGTTTGCGATATTCAATATTAGCGATTACAATACTGTCCTTAATCATGCCAAATTCAATTTATCGTGTAAGATTCATATATTAAATGAGACGGATACTTAATTTTATTCCTACCTGTCTTAACAATTTTGTCATGTTTAAACTCCATTTTTTTATTCAATGAACAAATCCTATGCTCTTTTTCTTTGTTCACTTTCCCATCTTATTTATTGATTGAAAAGTACATACCTCAAACGGTACTTGATACATCCATTTTTGTACAAATGAAGCATTTTGTTTGGAACAGTGACGTCATGAAAACTGGCACGTTTCTCATTGGTAAAATACAGATCAGGGACCCAAACTTTAACCATGAACTTTGAGTCAAGCTCAAAGTAATCGTCATTCAGCATTCCGTAAAAAATCAGGCGGGGGTCACACCACTCTTGTTCAACAAATGCGTTGATTGTAAAATCCTGCAATATTTAATTTGATAATGACGAAACATTTGCAAATACTACAAATGTAAGATCTCCTAACTCATATATTTGATTATTATACTAGTCTAGTATCTATATGCAGGCGTATTTTAAAAGATCAGTATATTTCTGAACAAAGGACACCTATTCAGTCTTGTTATGTTGTAACATTGTTAACCTCTCGTCATTAAGCTTTATTGGACTTGACAAAATGGACCCATTTCATTTTGTTATGATTCAATTTAGACAAGTCCCTAGGCTTCCAATCGCAAAGTGTTTTACACATGTTTTATTTCTCGATGATTTAAGACAACATAAAAACCAATTTTCAATCACTCATAGAACTTCTCGTTGTCTATGATTCTTATCTTGTGCTTTCATTCTCTGTCTCGATCCATTTTTATGACACGTAATTTCGTCAGGATTTTCCATAAACAGGTAGATGTTTTACTTAATTGACAATCGTATAAGTAACATTTAGCAAACTTTAAAACAGTTCAGCAGTTTCCATGTACACATTATTCACTACTCTCTCCTTTACAATGATTAACAACAACGATACAGGGTGCCTATGACTTTTATAATTGGGCCATAAATTCTGGGACCTCAATTTATTATACTTCATCTACTCTCAAAATGAAAACAATTATGTCCGAAACTATATCACAGACTGTGTATGTAAAACTGTTTCTGGGACCTTGTTAATCCATGCAGTTATGATAAATAACGGATCTTTCATTACACGTAGAACATCATCTTATTGCGATTTCTGATTAGAGGGAACAGGTCTGTGATGGTTGCTAAGAACAGTTTGTGTTTGATGACCATCCTACGGAAAATCCAATGGAGGTAATGTGTTGAGGGCAGCAAATTGAAATGATAACTTTGTAGCTGCAGTGTACGGAATTTATTGGTGAAGTGTGTGTGATATAGACAAAAAACTATAACGAGGTATAGATTTCGTTCATTGGCGTGCGCAAATTGCAGTATCAATGTTCTCGCAGACCGGACAGGATGGTGAACGCATATGGTATGCGTAATCCATGTACTTACTAAACAGGAAAGTTTGGTCGTATGTTTAAGCTTGCAGATGACACCAAGGTCGAAATTAAACGTTGCCATGAACAAATGAGAATTCCAAAGAGAAAATTAGTTCACATGAACTTGGCCTTGTATTCTTTCCGTCTCTAGCATTGTTTTTTTCTTATATGTCCTATGTTTTATTTAAAAAAGTTACTTGATAATCCATATTTATAACCTTTACTGTTTGAACACTTAGCCAACTTGAACATATTGCAATAAAATGATTCTTATCGAGCCACATCTCGCTATTTTGTTTTGTTTGTTTGTTTAACGTCCCTTCGGGAATTTTTCACTCAAATTGAGACGCCAAAACTTGCCGGTGGAGGGCTGCAAGTATAGACCTGTACTCGGCACTTACATGTAGGGCGTTTTTTGTGTAAGCACCTATTACGGCATGGGACCTCGGTTTATATGGCTTCCTCCGAAGGATCGGTTTCCATGTCCCGCAACGGGATTCGAACCCGCGACGTAAGGACCAACTCCTTACTTCGCGACTTTAGAGAAAAAGCTCTAACCTCAGCGCCATGCGGGCGACCGCTACATTGTTGAATGAAGATTGCGACCTGAAAATTATGCAACTCATATGATCAATTTATAATATAACTTTTGACCGTAGCTTGGGTTAATCTTGATACAAAATTTGAAATTATTAAAATTACCTGAAACTGTTGGATATATAGGATCTCTCATAGTTTGTGGTTTGATATGATTTTTTTCCAACGATTTGTTTTTGCTCAGGGATAAAAAATCATATCTAACCACAAACCATAGGAGATTCTTTGAATCACATATTCCAAAAAACGTTATTTCAATGTTTACACGATTTCAACTAAGTAAATCTACAATATCTGACTTTATCAAATTCACACATTTTGACCTTGGATATGAAAACGAGATTCTTTGAGCTATATCCACCGACAATCAGTGGAAATATATGTAGGATACTTTACTACATCATGAAATAAAAAAAAAAAACAGTGAAAAAAGAGAACTTATTTTTTGTATCATTTTCTTTTATTTTTTTTCCATTGACATTTTAATTTTCATGAATAAAACAAATTAGTGGAGATATATATGTCATTTAACATATTAAATTTACACTGGAACTAAGCCCTTCGTTTTACTGATTAATTGTAGCAATATCGATATGCGAAGCTTACTACAATATTGCACAGGGCATATCTTAAGATTTATTGAGAAATCGCTGTCTAATTTGTTGTTTATTCCAGGGAATCAACGAAAGTTGGAAATGTGGAACATATTGGGCGAACGATCTGCATTTACATGTTAAACAAGAGGCCTTAACGGTCACCTGAGTACATAACAATTTAGAGGATTCATAGAGTATAAAATAAACTGATGGATGAAGTTTTGTAGCCCAAAAGCAAGAGAAATAGGATGGTCAGGATCAACAAAATAATTAGACTAGTATCTATCAGTCCCCCCATTTATCCTTTTCACCATGCAGACTATTTACAAAATATCTATTTTTAACCCCATATAATTGCCTCTCACTATGGCCTCTCTTGGTCTTTGAAGAACATGTAAAATGATGTTATTTTTTTCTCATTTATATTTATCTATTATTTACAAGTCTACCTAATCAATAAAACTATAAAAGTACTTTTTGTATTATACAATAAAAATTCTTGCACAATTCTCTAATTCTATTAACCTTTCAAATACACTATTTAGAGTGATTAATTATCAAAGGTGAATGACCAGGGATTAATCTAAATTTTGGGGGAAACTTCCTTTTCTGGAGAATTGGGAAAATCAGCCGGGGGAAATTAATTTCAACATTTTTATGACCATTTAGAGTGCATAAAATAGCAAAGTAAAATCATATTTCAGAGAAATATCGTTTTAAAATTTTTACTTTAAATTTCCAGTTTTTAATTGAAAATAAATTACTGGATAGAAAAGTTTGACAAATTCCTTACGTAAAACTTTATTATACTGATATGTATTGTATATCACTTGAAAGGAAAAGACAATAGTTCAAATGAGAAACTTAGTTTCCTTAAAATTCAAACTTCCTTTTTTAAAAAAAAAAAAGATCCACCATGTCCTCAAGTTCCTCATTGGAAAAAGTTGTCTTTTCCTTCCTTACAAATCCAAACGAGATTGGTTAAGCCTCTTTCTGAAATTTGTGCACAAGAAGTTCTTTACACTAAATCCCCTCTCAACAGTTACTGTTGTGCAAGGAATTAAGCATCCCAGTTCAAGCAACTGTATCATATTTGAGTAGAGTAAATTCAGTATCCCATCTCTTTTAGCCTGTCTCAGGTTGTTAGGCAATGTGAGTTGCAGTCTTTGGTCCCCAAGCTGCTGTCTAAAAATTATAACAGGGCATTAGTATTATACTATTTTAAATAAAGTCAGAAAGTTTAACTTTTTTAATCATTCAAAATTTACAACTGTTACTAGTAAAAAAAAAAACCCAGAGTTAATATCAATAAAATAATTCATACTTACAAATTATGTTTCCTAGGATGAATCTGTTGCATGCAAACTTGTAATGAAACAATAACTTTTCTTTAAAAAAAACATTTTTAAATAAGAAGAAAAATATTAGTAATGTAAAACAGTAAAGTCAAAACCTTGTAAAATTTTAACTGAAAGGGAAGTAGTTAATATTTTTTAACCTTATAACAAACAAATGATATTTGAATGAACCATATTCAAGAACCACTGCATCTGCAGATTCGAAGTCAGCGGGGATTCTAGGGAAGGGATGTGCATAAAACTCAGCCAAAGTCTGGATGTCATGCTATAAAATAAATTATCATTTATTTTAAATACCGAATACCTGAATATTGCTGTAGATGATTTATGTTGACAACATTCACACAGACCTTCCCATAGTCTAGCAATTCCCCAGTTGCAGTGCTTAGGGAGATTCCTTGGGTCTAAGACCCCAAAGGACCTCCTTACCGGTGAAAAGCTGAATGACTATTTCATTTCAACTAGAAGAAACCTGATGAATGGAAGGCCTGTGAGTAACGAAAAATCCTCAGGCGTCTGAACATGGACATTCCTATGTTCATCTTGTCTGATTCTTTGTTGTAGAGATGTTCTGTCTACAACGTCAAGATAAAAGTGATGACCTTCGAGAAAGTCAGTTCTTCATGCTGACCTCTTTCATCTAACATTTCAATTAAAATGGCTATTCTTTCCAAGGTTTTGCTTACTTTGTGGGGAACGTCAGTGAGATTAAATATTCATTTTATAATAATAAACTCAAATTGTTTATTATTCTGAGTACATCACTCAACAGTAAGATCCTTGCGCAGTAGTGAAACTCAGAGTCCAAAAACCTCAGGTTCTCGCCTTTCCTCATACAGACTGTCTGAGCAATCCGAAATGTTAAAGAGATATATTCATTATATACATTACAACAAGTGGTATTTGTGCCATCAAATGTCAGGAATATGACATTGGAGAGCGGAACACCCTTGGCTTGGAAAATATTCTGATTGCTTCTGTCAGAGAATAGCTATCTGTTTTCTCAACATGTATAATACCAAGGTAAATGATCTTGGATAGTGTCTTGAAACTTCCGTGTCCCAAATAATGCAAACTGCTCTCTTCCTCCTTCATATGTACTTTCATCTCCTAATTATGTGAATTTTTCTCCTACCCTAAGAGAATCAATGAACTTCTGTTCAAGATGATAACTAACTGTTTCCATAATATCATTGACAGAAAAGGATGACAAGTAAGTTGCATTCTTTGGTGCTGACTGCAAGTGAGTACTAAGGTCCTTAACACCAAGGCTAGCCACAAACTGCACAAATTCTGCAGTTTTCCAAGAGGGCTTACCGTTTTCTAACCATAAAATTCGCACACATAATAAGTTTCTTCAGTACTTCACGATTCAGTTTTTTTTTTCAATCAATTTCAGTCTTGAG